AGTAGACATCTGTAAGTCAAATATAATATTATTTTCCAATAATAAACACAGAAACAGAGAGTTGTTATTGTAGCAAACCCTGGGTATACTGAATATGCTCCAATCAAGAGCATACTTCCACAATTCGCTGCAACAACGGCTACCATATATCGACAAGGATGACATGTTAAGCGCCCTTGGGCGCATCATTGCTGCTAGTTCCCTTCCAATCTATATTAGGCTCTCCATTGTATTGCCGTTTCGGTCGCTTCGGAAATTGGGCGAAGCACCTGAGACAACGCAGCTGGCAACCGCAATTGCTCGAAGAGCAGGGATGGAAAGACGCAACATAGAAGAGGTCATAAAGCTGCATCTGCGAGAAGAGAAAGTCCATTGCACAGATAGGCACACTAGCCGTATAAGTTTATTGAGCAGCTTAGAATTTCATTCTGGCAAATATGCGTGAATGTCTAATACATACATATATAGTATATATGTATATGCTAGATGGGCTAATAAATACAAAGACGTATAATCGGAAATCATCGCGCCGATGTAATGAAGATACATAAGTGCTTCTGAGGGTGTTAACTGGCATTCGTGTCTTCTAGTTAAATGCGAAAAGAATAAACAATTATTTAACTGCAATAAAGTTGGGAAAAACAACATATTAAAAAGTGCTCGACGAAAATATTTGTTCAGTGCAACAAGCATTAGGGTGGCACAAAGAAGTGTGAAAATAACGCTGAGAACACTGGGTCAGAGACAGCGCTTACGCGATTAAAACCGAGCTAAAAACAGCGCTCCGTTCATACATTGTTTTCGCTGTTTGGCACCAATCGGAACTACAAAGCACTTCCAGATCCTCCTATACCTGGAATTTCCACCGGCTTGTAGGTCACACGCGCAATTTGACGTCTGATTTCTCTTAAAAAAAATTATCAGCCGTTCAGAAGCGTAACAGCAAGACGCAAAACCACAAATTGGAGGAGAAGCTCGGTCGAAAAACGCTTCAGTGGTTACAAAGCGCCAATTGTATGTATATACATATATATATGTCAATGTCACCGCATATCTCCGTACTGCTCATCGTTCCTTATAGTAGGCCAGGAACGAAAATTGACTTGTAGAGTTTGGTCTTCGTGCGTCAAGACAGGATTTTACTTCTCAATTGCCTACTCAGTCCAAAGTAGCACCTGTTGGAAAGAGTGATTCTGTTTTTTCTGGTTCCAAGATAGGCGAAGTTATCTAAGACTTCAAAGTTATGATTACCAACAGTGACGTGGGAGCCGAGATGATTGTTTGAGATGACATTAGATATTCCGTCTTGCCAATACCCTTGTTTCCTTATCCAGTCTGGATAAAGTAGAGCGCACGCCGCCGTTGCTGAGGCTAATAATGTCATTATTACCGGCGTACGGAAACAGCTTTTCACTCTTATAGAAGATCGCACCTTGTCTATTCAGCTCTGTAGCTCGCATTATTTGCCCCAGTCTGTCTGAAACCTCGTTTGGTATTAAGCGGCTCCATGAGGTCCCTTACGATCATGACGGTGTTTTTGGTGTCGCTTTATGTCAGTTTACACAACCATAAAGCTACTGCGCTGTTCAAGGCTGCTTTAAAATTGAAGAAAAGGTGATATGTATCCATTCTCCTTTCACTGATCCATTGCCAGCCGCTTTATTGTTCTTTAAGCTATTCGAACCTCGACGTAGTCGGGTGGTGGAACGTCCTTTCCACATTCCAAATCCGTTTTGCTCTGCGAGTTTTTTTAGGACCACGGAATAAACGCACATCCACAACACTGGATACATGTGATTGATATAATTTTAATTTTTTTGATCTGGTGACAGCCAGGTAGTTTTGGTGGATTTTCTTGTACTGAAGTGTAGCACTACAGAAAACCATATTTCGTTCGCCAGCAAAGTCGATCACCCTGAGGGCATTTGGTAGTGGATGCTGATTTGATGTCAGCTTTCAACCTTATAAGCACATTAATCAGCTTGGAAATGACACCTTCCGACCTAAGGAATCGAAGATTCCAGGTCATAACGGCAGATCATGACCCTTAAAAGAGCAAAACGGGGGTCACTCCTCCGAAACGAGTGGATTTTTCATGAGAGAATACTTTTTGTGTTGTTGTTTTCATATACAATTGGCAATAGGTAGAAATATAAGTATGTATGTATATACGTATGTATATACTCGCGTGTACCTACAGTGGCTGTTTGTTAAGCGCCTATCAACAACATCTCTACTGCACTGATCACAAGGTGACAAAACTGAAAGAAGCGACCGGCCCGCTAAGTGAAGTTGGCTTGAGTCATAAGCTAATTATAATAACAAAAACTTTCCCCTGTTGGTAAGGGGCTCATGATTTTACCACGGGTTCCGAAACCCAATTAAGGGAATATTTTGCTGCGCTTAACATCGATATACACAGAAAAAGATCGCACGAAAACATTAATTAGACAACAGAGTAAGCAACTAGGTACATATGTATATATATATTTGCAACATAAGCAAAATATGTATATGCATACAATATGTGGAATTATTAAGGATGAGCGAATGGACCCATAAATGCAAGAAATTACGCAAGACTCCTCAAGTATTCCAGGGGCTGAGAAGGGCAATCACACGGAGAAGGATAAGGTAGCGGCCAAAAAAAGAGGTTTGCAGCGCCAACCAAACTACGAAAGTAAGGATGTTTCCCGAGAGTGATAACATACTGAAGAAAATTCGTCCACGACTTTGCACGAGTATCGCAATCACCAACATCAACCCTGAAGACTAGTAAGAAGTGACAGCGGACTGAAGATCAACAGACAGAGATGGAGGCTTTAAAAAGCGCGCTCGCACAAGCATTGGTGATGGCTTACCCCGACTTTACGAAAAATTTCACGGCGCAAACCGATACAAGCTATTTTGGATTCGGACAGATCATCAGACAGGAGCTAACAAGAAAGAGGTAATAGCGTATGCGTGTTGTCGGCTAAGCAAAGCTGATGAAACTACTCGCCGACGGAGAAGGAGTTCTTGGTCATAGTATGGGCAATAAGGAAAATGAAACGTACATACAAAATTACAGTGATGATTACGATGAGATGACAACGTAGCCTGCACCGGCGTAAACGAGTCCATGGGATAGAGCACGGTTTTTTCAACGAACACCCATCAGGAACCACACAGAAGACACCAACACAAGCGAAGAGGGCAATAATGCAGTTTTGACAGCTGGATTCGATCAAGTAGTCTGACGCTATCAGCAAGAGGCAACTGGCTATAGACGACTTAATATTGCTAAAAGTTACATCATCTTTCGAGAGTGATAGATAACTTTGCAGCCAAACTAGCACCCAGATATTGAGTTCCGTAAGAGGAAAAACTCGTACCTGAATAAATCAAAATAAAAATGCAAAAAAAGTTTAAGAGAAAAGGAAGACTACAAAAAAATATATATATAAATGAAAACGTTAAGGAAACGAAAAATTTAGAAAAAAGGTACGTGAATACTTACAAGATAAGGAGGAAACACTCTTCCATCTATCGAGCCCAAACAAAAAAAGCACCGCAGCAAGAAAATGTATCGACAGTGTATGCAGCAGCAAATCCACCAACGTATTTTTAAGCCATGACTAGGAGGGGAAAACTCTCAAGACAGCCGGTCCTACGCACCGGAGTTGACCTGGACTTTATGCGGCCAAGAGTTATCACCCTTTCGGCGACCTAAGCCCGTTTAGGTCAACAGGTAAACTTAATTTATGTGCGCCAATGGAGCAAGATCTCGCAGCTGGGATGCTCCAAATCTTTCTCAACAGGGCTGGCGTCGAAACCAACCATGGTTTTTTTTTGCTACGTATGCCATAAAAGAATCCACCACTCCTCCACCTCGGTTAGGTGCATCCAATGCAATGGTTGGAGTCATCTTATGGCTTCAGGCATTAAGACCCACGGGGAGTGGCCCACACGTTACGTGGCCCGATGCTGCCAACGCACCTAGAGCACACGGCCCTGCTTTCAGCACCTTTACCCACTTTGGGTAACCAACAGACCTCTATGGTCTCCTAGTCCCCCGCACAGTCTGTTTCATGTGCCAGACCATAGCACGTCGGAAAACGGCCTCAGTTAGATGCAACTCTTGTTCTGGCAGATGTGTTGCCCCATGCTGTAGGAGTTTGCCCCCGCCTGTATCTACTCAGCCCATCGAGTAAAAAATCAACAACACACTACATCCACATATAACTCCCTCAGCTCTGAACCGCGATAATATTGCGAAGAAGTTTTGCATCGTACCATTTAAAAACATAAAATTTGATGTGTTCCGCACAAAATGTTAGTTGTTCTTTTTTTCTCAAAATAAAAGGTTTGCGTTTTGTCATTCTGAAGACCAAAGTTCAAGTCTTGGCTCGACCCACATCGAAAATTATATAAAAATATTTTTTCTAATTGCAGACGATCCTTGGCAGGAGTATACTTCTGACATTAAATGAGAGCTCATGGCTAATATCTGTATATTGTCAGCTATTTGCTCGCAACTTCACTTTTCGATCATTCGAATGATTTTATGGACTTTTTTCCTTCTATGCCTTCTATGTGTTGGGACCGGGAATTTTTAATATACTACTTGTTACATATGAGCACAAATGTTTTGTGTACCGCAATTGTCTTCTGTGCAAAAATAATCGAAATCCAGATACGAAATCACAACGACGAATGTTTAACTTTCGCGATGCTCTTATAAAAAAATAAAATATATAATGATTACGGGGAAATTTGACTTCCGAAATACTATGTGTGAAATATGATTATAATAGTTTTATGTTTTGCATTTGTATTGTGTGAAAAACAATCCAAAGAGTTCACAACGATGAATGCTTTTGTATCGCAATACTCTTTAAAAAAACAAGTAAAATATACTTATAGTCACTTTTTACTATGATATACAATTCGCGATTCTCCAAATTTTATTCGTTGTTATAAGAATCTGAATGGAATGTATACTCATTACCGTTATTTACCTTTTCGCAATTGAATCCAATTGTAGGTACTGTATTCAAATATTGATCAAATTTCAATCTGTACAGTGCTGTCGTTTTCCCCGCTGAATCAAGTCCAAGCATAACAACGTGTAATGTGCCCTGAAAAATGAAATATTAATATATCATTTCAACTTAAAAGGAAACCCTTACCTGTGAGGGCAGAGCATCTAAAAAATTTACTCCACTTTTACCCATAGCCCCTCCCATTTCAGAGCATGCATGTATTACTTTTAGGATTCGGTTTGTTTTAAATATTATATTTGCGGTTTGCGGCAAGAAACCTGTTTCTTCTCGAACGCCCCATTTTTAAAACTAAGCGCCATGTTTATAGTCCTGAGGTAGAGTAAGATTAAGTTTCAGCGAACCTAAAATGACAAAGTCCTTACTAATCGTATGTGTAACATAGTTTGTTTAATGCCATCCTTAACGCTTTTAGTAAGAGCCTACTTTATGAAATCGTCTACCACTTTTTTAACATCTATTACTATCACTTATGTTATAGCTACGATTCCTTTTTGAACATTGCTACTGGGAAGCTAAAAATAAAATATATCTATTACTTATATGTTCTTCCTCATTTAAAGCTATTGATTTGTCTTACGTACTCATAGCGGTTATAGAAAGAAGTCTTCCTATAAACCATAAAATTAAAATCCCTCCCCATTATGGCATTCCCGATTAACGTAAATCGTTTATAATCTCAAGTTCTCATTTAATTTCTTCAACATTCGAATTGGCGTTTAAATTGACTTTTCGTTCGAGTCGACTCTAAATCTACATTAATTATGAGCATGATTAAAATTAAGTATACCCTTAGTTAGAGCATGCTCTAACTTGACTATGAGCGACCAGAAACGGTTCTTTTGTCTATTGTTCAAAAAAGCTCACGACTTCCGGTCTAAAACCTAAACTAAAGTGAGATAATGAGTCCCATGCGGTTGTGTGCAGGATCCGAGAGCCACCACATGAAAACGACCACCATTGAAAAAAGAAAATATGCCTCGGATAAGACATCTTCCCCTATGGAAAAACTCTCAGCCAGATCGATCATGTTGTGATAGTCGGAAGACATGCATCCAGGGTTATTAGATGTGCGTACGTAGGACGGTCCTAACACCGAGTCGAATCAGTAATATGGTTGTCTGTACTACTAGATTCCAGCCCAAAAAGTTCTGCAAGCTATTTGGCTGTCTCCCTATCGAAAAACTCTCAACCAGATCGATCATTCTGTGTTAGTCGGAAGACATGTATCCAGGGTTTAATTTGTGCGTACGTTCGGAAGTCCTAACAGCGAAGCGAATCAGTAATATGGTGGTGTGTAGTACTAGATTCTAGCACACAAAAAATCACCAGGCTATTTGGCTGTCTCCTAATCGTAAAACTCCCAACCAGATCGATCAGCTTGTGGTAGTCGGAAGACATGTAACCAGGGTTTTAGATGTGCGTCCGTTTGGAGGTCCTAACACCAAATCGGATCAGTATTTTGTCGCGACCTTTGTTCCACAACGTAATGCAATCAGAAAATGCAAAACACAACTCATTCAAGATAGAGTGATTTTATGCGACCTAACCTCGTAAGGTCAAAATTTATCTAAGTGCACCAACGGAGCAACACCCCGCAGCTGGATTGCTCCAAATCCTCCTCATCAGGGTCGCCGTCGAAACCAACTCTTTCTACTGCATGATCCAAAAACAACGCCACCATTCACCCCCACCAGTGCAATGGTTGGAGTCACCTTAAATACTACTCAGGCCTTCAGACAAACAGGGAGTCATCAACACGTTACGTGACCATGGTGGGGGTTTGGAGTTTATCCTTCACAACACCATTCAGTGTCGTCTTATAGTCGGCGACAGCGACTGCGGCGATACTACTCTAGAATTTCAGGGAACAGCTATCCGGTCTGGCAATGCCGAGGTTGAAATATTTAACATATACATTCCTCTAGTTACATGTTGCCCTGTTGGATACAGCCCGGATATAGGTGCGCTACGCAGAAGCAAAAACCATTTGATTTTGGGCGACTTTGACGCGTACCATTGTTATGGGACCAAAGAACAGGGTGCATTGGAATCGATTGAGAGGCGATCAGAGGTGCTTGCGATAGCATCCTACCACTGCGGCGTGTGCACTGGCTTAGATCCCGGAGCTTCAGCCTGGGGGGGGTCATTACGCAGTTGCAGGACCAAGTCACCTTCTCCCTGTTCTAAAGTTCAAACAAGAAATATTGTTTGCACACTAAAAAAAATATATGACATTAAATTGCCAAAATTATGTTCATAGATATATCTATAAATAACTCACATCACCCAGCAGCTCCGAACGGTTTTCTTGGGCTGCTCTGTACCCACCCTACCTTGGCCTCTATGATGGTAAAAGGGCCCCATTTACCACTCTCACTTCCTTTGAAATCAGACCACAAATAGAGGAATTTACTTATTCATTATACAATTTTATTTGACAAATCAACTCATTTCTTCAATAAAAAAAATTAATAAACAGTGCAATAATCTAACTTTAAATTTTAATTAGATTAATCTTAACATAACTTTGTACTAACTTCTACTTTGAGGTGTAACTGCTAAATAAAGGCATGACCTACCTCAACGATGGGATCACTGACCTTCATTTGCTCACATAGGCACATATATATATACGTATCTACATACTTAAAGGGTATGAAAGAAAAAGAAAATATATATATAAAGAAAACGAGAAAAAAATAGTTCAACGTATATATATATTCATATGTATGTTTGTCAAAATCGCAATATTATAAACTCTGAGAGTCAAAATTATTCCCTCTAAACAATTACACCCTCATGAACATACATACTTCGATGCATATGTATGAGCACATATATATCAATATATGTAGACATACATATCGATTTCAATATAATAATAAAGTTATTAAAAATGAGTATTAATGGAAACGAATTTACTCACTTTGGCATGTCCCACGAAGCGAAGAGGCCTCCTTGCTTTGTTGCTGCTGCCGAGTGCTAATCCTTTTATGTTTTTTTTTTCTTTTAGTATAATAATTATTTTTCTTGTATTTATTTGTGAATTTCTATGTTTTAAACTCACGATATAATGGATTGTATATTATGTAAAAAAAAATTGAATACATAACTTTTGATCAAGAGTGATCTGGCATTCAAAATTTAATCTATTCTTTTAGCGATTACTGTATTCTTTCATAATGCTCTCCTTCAATATTTTAAAAATTTGTTAGCATTGGACAGTGCATATTGATATAAATATATATATAAGTATATGCATATATATATATACACAGCACATGTATACTTGAGCAAATTAAGGCTTACAAACAATTTTTGAATCCATGCGGTATCTACATATATACAACCTGATGCGGTTATGTACCTAAGCGTATGCCCGCTTCATAATTATGAAATAAAAACGTAAGTATTAAAATAAGTAAAGTGATGATTCTGATTCTGAATAAAATGTGACTTATTCACTAAATAACATTTAGTTTAAGTTTAAAGTAAGTATGAAAGAGTTTTTTTACTTTGAATGTAAGAGTAAGTATACTAATGCTTATTATTTTAACGAATTAAGTTAGCTTATTCTTTTTATTTTCTTTCATGTTAACGATTCAAGTTAAAAGGTGAATTCGCAATCACTAAGGAGTCGAATGTGGTCTTCTAAACATGTGATTATTCTCGTACGTAAACGCCATGCTTCATCAAAATCCAATATCGCTATTATGGTGAACTGTTGGACCCCCAAAAGACTTTTTTCCCCTTTTTTTTTGTCGAGAATATACTTCGAAAACTGGCACTGAGTGTATGACGCCAAAGATGCAGCAATAAAACTTCTTTTAAGCACTTACTTTTTTTTCTTTCAGACGGTTTTGCAATTTTATATAAAACTATTATTTAATGCTCCTAGCCGTCTTCACTGCTCAGCGGTTTGATTCGGAAAAAGCAAGAGAAAATTTTTTCCGAAATCGTATTGATCTTCAAGTTAGGTTTTCATTCAGTTTCCGATGATTCGATAAACCGACACATATGATCTTGGCTGCGTTCAGTGTCTTACACAGGGTTGTATTTTATTCCTTTTTTTTTCAAAAAGAAATAATAAGATCAAACCAAGGGTGAGAGAAACGAAAGGGTATAAAAAAAAAACAATTTTAAAATTAATTTAACATGTACCCACGGTACACCATGCTCTCTGGCATTCTAGTGCTGGCGTAACAGATCGACGACTCGACATTCTGCACAATGAACGACAACACCCCCTCCAGAGTTGGGTAATCTCTAAAGCTCGCCAGATATAACAATTGTGAGTGTTGGTCTGATAAACAGTATAACCTGGTGACCTATACTGATTCAGCATCGGACCACTTTCTATCCCCGAAATTTTTGAAGCAGTTAAAAGAGATCAATTAGCCCATTCTGTGTCATCATTTATAGACATCTATCATGGCCTTTGTAAAGGAAATTCTACCCTATCGAACCTGCTTCAACTTTCCACCCATATTAGTAATGGTTTCAAAAATGGTAATCAAACAGATATTATCTACACTGACTTTAGCAAAGCATTTGACAAGGTCTCTCATTCTTTACTTCACTTTAAACTCGATAATCTCGGGTTTCCACCTTCTCTTCTCAAGTGGATTTCATCGCATTTGATTGGTAGAAAACAAAAAGTAATTTTTAAATATTGTACATCACGTGAAGTAGTAGTAACATCTAGTGTTCCTCAAGGCAGTCACCACGGCCCTTACTCTTCCTAATATTCATCAATAACCTTCCAAATGTGGTTCTTCATTTTAAAATACTCATGTACGCTGATGATATCAACCTCTTTACAGGTAATTCTATTGAAGATAAAGAGCTTTTGCACATAAAATATTTAGTTAGGTGGTGCGATGGGAACTGTACGTCCCTAATGTCTCCAAAAATATTTCCAATCCTTTGTCTATATGATACATAATCACAGTGTTAAACAAGTTACTGACGTCATTGATTTGGGTATCACAAGGATCCTTAAGAAAGGTTTTATAATTCATATAAATGATTGTGCTAACGAAGCAAAAGGCGGTTTAGCCTTCATTAAACGTTTTGCTAACACTATCTATTATGTAGAGATAAACTTGAACCTGTTCAAAAGCAGTTCCAGCTAATTTAATTTGGCATGCGAACAAACACCCGTCTTCTTCTTACGGCTCATTAATCTGCATACACTCCATAGTCGTAGAAAGATGCTTGGAGTTTTATTTTTAACTAAATTGATAATATGTGTTATCAATAGCCCATTCCTACATAGAGATCTTCACTTTACCATCCCTTCAAGATTATCTAGACACTTTGAGTCTCTTTCATTGTGTTCATGCATAAAAAACTTTGAAATGCACGACCCTTTTAGATTTTTTGTGCAACGATGTTAATACACATTTCACCAACATTGATTCATCTGACTCGCTTTACTGTATTAAAACCTACTTACTGAGTGCTTTATATAATTATGTAGCTGTTTAGTGTAAGAGGAGAGTGTAACCGCGCCTGCTGTGCTCGATGAATAAATAATAACAAAAGTATTAGTGCGCAAATTCAGTCTACGTAGAGTTATTTAACATTCCTAAAATGGAAAGCAGGACTGGAAGTAACATCTTGCAGCTGGGTTGCTCCAATTCCTTTTTATCAGGGTTGGCGACGATCTTTGGATGCCGCCAAAAACCAACTCATCTCACCTTTTCCTCTGGTTCGATCCCATCAAAAGAGCTCGTTTCCTGCACCTCCTATCAGAAGACTTAAATGACTTAGACTGATCTAGTCCTTAAGCAGGATTGATAAGGTGCTACTACAACAGAAAAAATGCCGAAAAAAAACCAAAAATTATTTCATTACAAACCCATGTGCGGGACGTAAAACCGTGGTCCGTTATTGAACGCAGGCAGCACCGAAATGTAAGAATTTTAGAGCAGTCTTTGGGATACGGATTGAAGTAATCCGGGTGATCGGGGTTGCTTTCATTACCACATTTGCTGAAAAGGATTTGGAGCATCTCTGCTGAGATGTGTTGCTCTGTTTACGTCGTGCGAATAAATTTACCTACTGGCCTAAATAGCATTATGTCTGCGATAGGGTGAAAGTCCGTATTAAATTCGGGTCAACTCCGATGCATTAAGCGGCTATCTTGAAATTTTCTTATTGGTAGGGTGTATGCCGTCTTGGAGACTGACAATATATATCTAAGTACGTATATAATTTCACATTAGCATATAGTAGTTGTTGGTGAAAGCATAACAACAACAACACGTCAATAACAAAAAAAATTACTGCACAAATATGAAGTGACAAAACTCTAATAAAGTGACTAACCAGCTACATGGAGACGGCGTTCACAAGAACAAAGCTGTTAGCAAAAAAAAACCCTACTGCAATTTACAAACAGTGGTATATTATAAACGAATGCAAGTCATGCCATAACAGAACAACTATCAATATATGTATATAATAAACAAAGTATGTTTTTTGGGTGAACCAAAGTTATGGGTCAACAAAACCGGTTACGAATCTACCCACGCTACTCCCGTGCTACCGAGGGTAACTTTAACCCGCCTGTATGACTCTGCAAAATAAAAGAGTGCACACTTTTCTGGATCGCGATATTCTTACCCGACACAAACTTACGAGCCACGCCACAAGCTACGTTCCAGTGCCCAATCATTTGGCGCCGCTTCCATTACCCAACAGGACCGGGTTGTATAGTACATTAAGTACACTGGGACAATTTTCTCCTCGTCGCATTAAAGAGAAATGCGACATTTCTTTTCATGGAATGCCCGCGCAATGTGTTCCATTTCCCTAGCAAGTGTTAGTGGAGGAGCCTTTTTGGTAAGAACACATCGTTTTGAAGACTCATACCACTGAATAGACACACACCGAATCCAACCGTGTCATCATTTACTGGCTTTAAATTATGCGGTTACCTGCCGACATATGTCACTACAATCGTTTATATTGAAATATATATTAGACAAAACAAAGGAAATAAACAAGCATACATAAAAGACTGATATAAGAATTTGAAAAATAGTAACTGGACAAAAAGCAAGCAATTATAAATATAATTGACGGTTTGTAACCGCTGAACCGATTTTTGGCCGAGCTTCTCCTCTAATTTGTGGTTTTGCGTCTTGACGTTTTTCCAACAAATTGAGGGACCTACAGTTCATAATAAGCCGCCTCCAAACAGCTGATGGTTTTTTATGAGGAGCTTTTGATTTTCATGTCAGAAGTACACTCGGAGGCGTTGACATTCCCGGCCGATGGGCGACCGCAATTGGAATATTTAACTAAATTTTTTGTTTAAATTATTTTTCTATAACTTTTGATTATATACAGACAAAATATATGCTGCTGTATGACTGCGCTCTGGGTGCGTGATGCTATAGGGATGGTAAAAGAAATGAAGGGAACGACGCTGTCGGCACGACAAAAGCGTACAGAGACAATAAGTGAATGAAATGATACTAATCGGTTTTTCCGTTTTTCTACCATTTATTTTTGGATGAGTCGTTTTGGAAGGATCACCTTCTTTTGGAGACTTATACCTACCTAACACATCGAATACAACCAGTGGGACCTGCTGCTTGCCAGCCGACATCGATGAGTTCAAATACATTTTCGAAGCATCTGACATTGATTTGGGTCTCTATATTACATTAACTTTTTCATTTATATTTTGCTGGATGATTATCGTTGCTGGAACACAAATTTAACACTCAATTTATTCCCAGCTGGAGCAGAACAATTAGAATTTTTCTGTAAGTATTTAACTCTCAGTGGTTGTAACTATGTGGAACTTTGGAAAAAGCTGACTATAGTGTAAAATTTAAGAGCCAGCAAAATTCAGAAAAGGAATTTGGATCAGTGATCTAAATGATGAATCATCCCATCGCTTGAGTAAAAAATTTCATTCAAAAAATGACTAAAATGACAAATTTATTTAGTGCTGTGCGTTTGTCTAAATCTTTACATCTAACTTTTGTTAACAATTTTTAAAGTTTAAAGAGCCAGAATCTGAAACGTCTCTCTTACAGGCCTATTCTCACTGTTACCGGTATAGTAAATTTTGTTACTCTTCTTTAACGCCCGAAATGGAAATTTGTATTCCGGCGAGCTGATTACAATGTTTGAAAAAAATTTGGCAGCACTGCTTTTTTCGTTCATGTCAAATTACATTTGCCAGTTGATAAAGTAAAAAGAAAAATATTCACATCGAAATGGAAGACGGTGCACAAAAAAATTTAAAAGTTTTATTAATTTGGTTATTAAATCACAAATATTTGAACCTGTTTATGGAAAATATGCCTGGACAACAAAAAAAGCTGAACGAAAACGTTATCTTCTCCATCTTCAATGAATTCCAGGCCTAAAATATGCCTACCCATTTTGGTTTTTAATTTTTTCTCAAGCTTACAACACAAAATCAAACACCAGATATTTTTGTAACCTCCTATTTTGCTGGCAACAAAATTTACAGGGTGACAGTGAACTCAGAATACGAAATAGTAACAAAATTTACTGAATGGTAAATATTAACACCAAAGTAAACTTTTTTAAGTCGACAGAATAGGCCTGTTAAAAGTGCGTTATAAACATTAACGTAGCTAAATATTCTGTTGAAATCTTTTGATTTTTGTGCACATTTCAACAATAAATATTTTTATTTTATTCAATTTATTTGCTTTCTTTACATTATATTTACATACATATACATCATTTAGATTTAAAATAGAGAATGTTACAGTTTGTTTTCATTAATTTTTTCCTACTTCTTCGTTTTGTTTTTTAATACAAATTATTATCGTCTCTCTCTTATTATTCGTATTATTTTTATTAACAGCAATTAACTGGTCATGGTCTTGTTACATAGTCTCTTAAACTGTGCTATTTCGCTTGATTCTAAGCTTGCTTAATTATATTATTTCAGTGCTTCTGTAACTTTTTAGTTATTTTTCTTTTATATATTTATTTTCATTACTTTTATTTTATATAAAATATGTCCTGATCGTTCGAAGAGTGTAATTTGAAAAGTGATGCTGAGCGTCATATTTCTTGTCGGCTTTGTGAAACACGCTAAGTGCATTGGCCCCTTTCGACCCCAACGTTGCCTGAGAGCAACTTCGCGAAATCATATTCTTACCACAGGCGCTATTTTTGTTTTAATTTGTTGAACTGGTGTGATAACGGTAGTCTAATAAATTAGCGTGAAGTGTGATCAAATAAAAAATCAACTCTCAATCATTTAGCAAAGTTATTTGAGAAAGTGTGCAGCAGTGTCAGCTAAAAGTGGTGTTTTTGTTAGAAAGATCATTTTAAAAAGTGCTTTTTTCTTAAATAAATTTGTCATTAAATACAATTGTGTGAATCAACTAGTGTTCAGCGATAGTTAAGTAAAATATATTTGCAAGTCATTTTCGGTTATTGTAAACCAGCATCAGGTGAGTAATTTTTAATGAGACCTCAAGACAAAGGTTTGTCAAAAGACGACATAGAACAAGTTTTAAACTTCGATTGGGACGTTTCTTCGGATGATGATATGGAAGATGTGTCTGCAGTGCTGGAGCAAAATTTGGAGGGAATTATGGATAGAGGGGAAAGCATAGAAATTTACCTTCTTGACAATCTAATAGAAGAAGATAATACTCAAGAACCTCGCTCAATTCAAAATATGTGTATCGAAAAAATTGATTCGAAGGCAATAAAATGGAAGTCAAAGGTATTTGAAGCCCCGGAGAGAATGTGGAAGGAAGAGTACACCTTGGAAATTCACGAAGTAATGAAACCAGTGGACTATTTCTCACAATTTTTTGATGATCGATGTATCGATTTGATCACTCAGCAAACTGACTTATATGGACTTCAGAAGCTGGGAATTGAACTTAAAAGCACCAAAGTAGAAATACAACGATATATAGGCACTCTGCTATACTTGGGTGTTATTAAATTGCCCCAATTTAAAATGGCGTGGTCTCAAAATTTGAAGCTAACGGCTATAACGGACTCATTCTCTCAAAATAGGTTTGAAAAAATTAAACAGTGTTTACATTTTAACGTTAACAGCAAACAACCAAAAAAGGAAGATTCAAACTATGACAATTTGCACAAGATACGTCCTCTACTAGACATCGTTAGAGAAAACTTTAATAATCTCCCTCAGGAAGAACATCAAAGTGTTGATGAGCAAATAATTGCGTTCCAAGGTATGTATGATTTATAATATACATTGTGCGGTTTCTTGAAAGGTTTCCTGAATTTTTTGGTTAAAGGTCGATCAACGTACAAACAATACAATCCAGCTAAGCCCAATAAATGGGGCTTGAAAATGTTTACACGTGCTGGAACATCTGGACTGGTCTACGATTTCACGTTATATGTTGGTGAAGGTACCTGCCCATTATATGGACTGGGGCTGTCTTCGGATATAGTTCTTTACTTGGCGAAAAATTTACCCTAACAGAAGAACTTCAAACTCTATTTTTATAACTGGTTTACATCGGTAAGCCTTCTGATAGCATTGAATTAAATGGGCATATTCGCAACAGGATCTATACGCAAAAACCGTATAAACAACTGCCAGTTACTTTCAGAGACCGAACTCAAAAAACGAGGAAGAGGATCTTTCGACACTAAATGTGAAATCAATTATAATATTGTGTGTCTAAGATGGTTCGACAATAAACCGGTCCAACTTATATCTTCGTATATTGATCATCAACCAGTTGGGGTTTGCAAACGTTGGAGCCCGAAAAAAAAGGGCGCTGCAGGCTATGCAAAACTGGAACTCCAAAATCTAAATGCCTTAAATGTAACATCCATTTGTGTAGTAATAACAATAAAAACTGTCTTTTCATACTTAATATTTTCTTATAAATAAAACCAAATGCAAATAGAAAATTTGTTTAATTTTATACCACGATTGCCCAATGTTGCCCACAGGCAACTTTCTGTAGCACCCAAACGGGTGGGAGTAGCGACTTGAAAATTTGTCAGTATACTTCTGGGTATATATAATAAAGATAAAGATAAAAAAAAATTAAAACCATTGTAAAAAAGTCGGGGTCGAAAGCGTTAACGGTCGTGTCCTTGACTTAATACATGATGACAAGGGCCTTCTCTGGTCCAGCCCAAAACATAGAAAAGTTGTCTTTGACATTTTAAAACTTTTAAAAACTACAAGGAGTGGCTTTCTGAAAATAAGGAAAGATTTGAAAGTCATTACCGAAAAGTATCAAAATTATGGGGACGCATTTAAATCTTTTAAATGCATTTATTCCTCTGATTCCTCGAAAATGAAACCAAGGGCCAAGAATTGAAAATATAGTAACGATTTTTTTGATTGCGTTAAAGTACCACATACGTATACCCGCTGATATTGCTTATCTCCATCTTAATGCTCTTAAGAACCCATTTACATGTAGTCCGAATAATATTCCTACTAGTGTACTTAAAATTTGTGCTGAATCTCTATATATACCTTTGACAAACATATTCAACGCTTCATTAGAACAAAAATGTATACCCTTCTTGGTGGAAACATTCTTATTGTGTCCCTACATAAATCTGGCAGTAGACCTCCAATAGGGAATTTCTCTGGGATAGCCAAAATTTTCGAAGCCGTTAAGAGATCAATTAGGCCATTTGTGTCACTAGTTATGGGCATCTAAAATGAGTTTTGAAAAATAAAATATACTCTTTCGAACCTGCTTGAACTCACTATATATGTCAGTAATGGCATCAAACATGGTAGTCAAACAGATGTTATCTACACTGACTTCAACAACGACCTTCCAAATGTGGTTCTTCATTTTGAAATACGCATGTACACAGATGATGTCAACACCTTTACAGTTAATTCTTTTGAAGATAAAGAGCTTTCGCACATAAAATATTCAGTTAGTGCGAGGCAAACTGTATGTCCCTAATGTCTCCAAAAAACATTTCCAATCCTTTGCCTATATGATACATAATCACAGTGTTAAACAAGTTACTGACGTCATTGATTTGGGTATCACACGGATCCCTAAGCAAGATTTTAGAAATCATATAAATGTATCGATTTTAATACATATTTCACTAACATGGATTCCTCAGACTCTCTTTTCTATATCAAAACCTTCTTAAAAGAACTCGTTTCCTGCACCGTCAGAAGACTTCAATGACTAAGACTTATTTTTTTTTTTTTATACATAGTTCATTTATTTACTGGATTGCTGCAATATAAGCCTAACAGTAAGTGTACAAATCTTAAGAACTAAGTTACAAACATGATAGCCCGAGTTACTTAACTTTGAGCCCTTTTCAAACTACGGCGCTCTCCTTAGAAGGCGGGAACATCTCTTCTCTACAGGCGGGAATTTCTCGATGGGTTGCATAAAGCATTAGCTAGCGGATTTGGATGATTTCTTAGCTTTGTGAAGTACTTCGCCCTGCTTCTTTCAATTTCAGGCTTAACCAGCAAAATACCAAAGTCTTGATGAATGTTAACGTTACGAACGTACCATGGTGCGCCCGTTATTGCTCTTAAAATTTTAGACTGGAACATCTGTATTTTATAGATATTAGTTGCACAGGTCGTTCCTCCCAGTTGAGTACCACACATCCAAATTGGTTTTAATACTGCGCTGTAAATAAGGACTTTGTAGTCTAGTTTTAGACTGGAGTTTTTATTTAAAAGCCAATTTAAGCTAGCTGCTTTTAATTTCATGTGTAGTATTTTTGCCTCTATGTGTCTCTTCTAAGTGAGACGTCTATCTAAGTCTATATTGAGATATGTAACATCATTTACTTGGGGAATGTTTATACTATTTAAGCGAATTGCTGGACATGATTGCGGTCTTAAGGTAAATGTAACGTGCTTACACTTTTGTTCATTAACTTTAATTCTCCAGTTTTCTAGCCATTTTACGATCAGGAGTAAATGACCACTAATCGTTTTTGCTACTCTTTTAGGACATTTATCCCGGAATAAAATAGCTGTCATCCGCAAAGGTAGATATCTGCACTTTCCGCTTTAAAGGGAGTTCTGCCGTGTATATGATATATAAAATGGGCCCGAGGACGCTACCCTGCGGAACACCTGCTTTTACCGGTGTGAGTCTCACTGATAAATTCAGATTGTTTAATGGTAAATTGTCTGTTAGTCAGATATGACTAAAGTATCATATAAAATTGAACAGGCAGAGCTTTAGGTATTTTGTACAGTAAACCTTTATGCCAGACTTTGTCGAACGCTTGTGCTACGTCAAGAAACATTGCACAACAGTACTCCTTGATCTCGAATGCCTTTATGATTTCATTAGTTATTCGATTAACTTGTTCGATAGTACTATGCTTTTCACGAAAGCCGAATTGGTGATCTGGTATCACATTGTTACGGTGGAGAAAAGGAGATATTTTTGATAGCAAAATTTTTTTCAAATAATTTGGAAAGAGACTGGGTAGTAGGCTTATTGGTCTGTAAGACGCCGCCTGTGTGTGGTCTTTACCTGGTCTGGCTATCATTAATATCTGCGACTTTTTCCACGCGTTTGGAAAGTAATTTAATTTTAGAATGGCATTAAAGAGTTCAGAGAGCAAAGCTTGTGCAACTCTTGGTAGCTCTATTAGCACTTTAGATATAATGAGGTCGTGGCCTGGAGATTTCTTTGGATTCAGTTTCTGTATCGCGTTTACAACTTCTAGGCTTGATATTTTAATTGCCACTTGATTTTCCTGGCTGTTAATAACAAATTCCGGCAGAATAAAATTATTAGTTGCGTCATTTGGCTGGAATACATTACTTAAATGCTTTTCAAAGCAATTTGCCTTTTCTTCGTTACCACGTGTCCAGTTACCATTTGGGTCCCTGATTGGCATATTCATTTCTATTGGAGGCTTTAATTTCCTTTGTGCTTTCCACAGTGAGTAATTTTTGGCAGAATTTGGCGCTAGTTTTTCTATGTATGCCTTGGCATTTTGATCTTCTGCATTTTCAGTGCACTTTTCAGCTTCCTCTCTGCTGCTTTCAACCGTAGCTTTGCTGATGGAGAGCGATATTCTTGCCATTCTCTCCGTAAACGGCGCTTATTTTTTACTAATTTTTCTATTTCTGTATTTGTTAAGATTTTTGGGCACGTAGTAGGCTTTTTCCTTTTTGGAGTTGCTATGGTTGCCGCAGAAACAAGGATATTATATAGCTCATTAATGTAGTCATCAATATCGTTTTCACAATTCAATATTGGATTGATATCAATATGACTACTAGTATATATTTTGTATTTTAGCCAGTTGGTTTCTCTGTTTGTTAGTCTTGATTTTTGTACCACTATTTTCGGGCGCTCGTAAATTTTTATTAGAACTGGTGAGTGGTCTGAAGACAACTCAGCAACTGTCATAGCTGATACAAGTTGCCTGTCGATTTTTCTTGAGACAGCAAAGTCTATTAAGTCAGGTATTTTCTTCCGATCGGTAGCCCAGTATGTTGGTTGACCTGGGGAAACACAGTCCAAATTGTTACGATTGTTCATAATGGTATTGCAAAGCGGACGGCCTTTGGGGTTTATTAGATGGGACCCCCAGTATGCATGCTTTGCATTGTAGTCTCCTCCTGCTATAAATCTACCACAAGATTATCAAAAAGTTTCTTGAATTGATTTTCTTTGATCTTAAATTTTGGAGGGCAATAAATGGCTGAGAGATTTAGCTCTTTGTCATAATTATTCAAGGTTATAGAGGTAGCTTGTAGATAATCGGTGGCGTAGGGATGTAAGATGCAGTGTTCAAGGCGGTTTCTTAGAAATATTCCAGTGCCGCCGTGCGCTTTGCCGTCAGGATGGTTAGTGGGGTGGATTATGAACCCAGGTATATAAAAGTTGTATTTATCCGTAAAGTGCGTTTCAGACAATAGCATTACGTCTATAGCTTAGCATATAGCATATAGCTTTTTTTGACGTGCATTCAGACGTGGGATGTAGGTTCCCACATGCTACGCAAACACTGCGCATTGTGCAGTAAGATTTAGTATGGCCGAATTTTTGGCAGTTAGTGCATTGCACTGGGCCATTTCTTTTGTGTGGCTCTTCTACTGTTACCCTACGATGTAGCAAATATTTTAAACTATATATGGGATGGGTTTCGCTTTTCTTTGCCTGACTTGAATTGGGCTCTAGTTCTACCTTAAACATTGGCTGGGGAACTTTATTCCTAATAAGTTTATTTATAACCAATTTTCTTTAAGAGCCTCTATGTTAGAGGCTAGGGTTAGGACTTGATTTCCTTTTGATATTTATATATCGATCTAGTCATGTTGTATTATTGTATTTTTTTTATGTCATTGGCCTTACCGCTTGCCTTTTCCTTTTCATTTGTAATGGTGGGCGATCTCCTGCTGGGTGTTTGCTTGCTGTTACCTTTTTTCTTTTGTTTCTCTGTCGACTTCGCCGTCTGTTTAGCGCTAGCTGAGAGACTTCTGCTTGCATGTTGCTTTCTTTGCCGTTGTGTTGGCGGTGTTTGCTCGAAATAAGAAAAATAAGAATTTGAGAGCCTTCGATCCGGCGGGTTTAGCTGCGATGCACTCATTTTTCTTTTTGTACTCACAGAATATTTTTTTTGTTTACTTCTCTGTTTGTTCGTATTGTTTATTAATATTGTGTTGTGTTTTTTAATTTGGAGTTTATTAGTGGTTTCCTTTTTTTAAGTGTTCTTCAGTTTACACTAAAGGCTCTCGCTTAATTATTTGAACTTTTCACTGTAGGTTTTAATTTGTTTAATTTTATGATTAGTGCTTGATTGCTTCTGTGCTCTAACAGCTCTCTCACATGCCTATTTAAAGAAAAAACGTACAAGCTTTTAAATCATTACAATCCCGTGTGCGGGACGTAAAAACGTGGGGCGTAGTTGAGCACGGAAGACACTGGGCCACGTAACGCGTTGTTGAGCCTTAAGGCATGAACAGGTATTGGTATGCCTTCAGAGTTTCTTTTAATTGCATCTTACCGAAATGGAAGAATTTTGGAGCGGTCTTTAGGATACGGAGTAGAAGTAATCCGTGTGATCAGGATTGTTTTCATTACCAGATTTGATGAAAGGGATTTGGAGCGCCTCTGCTGAAAAGCGTTGCTCAGTTGACGTTGTGAGAATAATTTTACCTGCTGGCCTAAATAGGATTATGTCTACGATAGGGTAAAAGTCCATGTTCGTATAAAATTCGAATCAACTCCGGTACGTAAACCAGATATCATGAGATTTGCCTATTGGTATGGTGTACGCCGTCTTAGAGACTGGCAAGGTGAAAGCCTACCAATAAATAGGAAGTGACAAAACTCTAATAAAGTGACTAACCAGCTAAGTCGAGACGGCGTTCAAAAGAACAAAGCTGTTAGCAAAAAAAAAAATCTACTGAAATTTACAGACAATGATATATTATAAACGAATGCAAGTCATACGATAACAGAACAACTAACGATATATGTACACAATAAACAAAGTATGTTTTTTAGGTGAACGCGAGTTATGGTTCAACAAAATTGGTTACGAATCCACTTGCGCTACTCTCGTGCTGCCGAGGGTAACTTTAACCCGCCTGTCTGACTCTGCTCTCAAAAAATAAAACGCACTTCTGCAAAAAAAAGTGTACACACTTTCCTAGATCGCGATATTCTAATGACCGCGCAATGTATCCCATTTCCCTAACATATGTTAGTGGAGGAACCGTTTTAGTAAGAGCGCATCCTTTTGGAGACTCATACTACTGATAAGCACCGACCGAATCCAACCGTGTCATCATTTACTGGCTTTAAATTACGCGACTACTTGCCGACACAGATACATTTTCGAAGCATCTGACTTGCTGACTTGCTGAATGATTATCGTTGCTGAAGCACAAACTTAACACTCAATTTATTCCCAGCTGGAGCAGAACAATTAGAATTTTTCTGTAAGTATTTAACTCTCAGTGGTTGTAACTATGTGGAACTTAGGAAAAAGCTGACTATAGTGTAAAATTTAAGAGCCAGCAAAATTCAGAAAAGGAATTTGGATCAGTGATCTAAATGATGAATCATCCCATCGCTTGAGTAAAAAGTTTCATTCAAAAAATGACTAAAATGACAAATTTATTTAGTGCTGTGCGTTTGTCTAAATCTTTACATCTAACTTCTTAACAGAAAATTTGTAAAGCTTAAAGTGCCAAAATCTTTAATGTCTCTCTTAAAAGTGCTAAAGTGCTCGT